TTCCCTGGACTGCAAGGAGAACAAACCTATCAATTCTAAAGGAAATCAACCCTGAGGGCTCACTGGAAGGACAGATCCTGAAGCTGAGGCTCCAATGCTTTGGCCATCTCATGAGAAGAGAAGACTCCTTAGAAAAGACCTTGATGTTACGAAAGTGTGAAGGCAAGAGGAGAAGGGGACGACAGAGGATGAGATGGCTGGACAGTGTCATTGAAGCTACCAGAATGAATTTGACACAACTCCAGGAGGCAGTGGAAGATAGGAGGGCCTGGCGTGCTCTGGTCCATGGGGTCACGAAGAGTACTAAACGACTAAACAACAACAAATCGGTTCCTGTGACCAGCCCTAACCTGCTAATCACCTTTAAACTGCCCTTTACTTTTCCTGGTCTTGCCTTAAGCCCAAATCATAAGAGTCCAAGCGGTTTTTAAACTGAAACTTAAAAATAAGATTTTTATTGAAGTGTGACAACTAGTAAACTTGCACACTTGTGAGGTTACATGGATTATATGTGTCAGAATTTTCTATACCAGACCCAACTCTCCCTGTTACAAAGTAACAAACTTATGCAGTCTGCTTGAAACCCAAACTCTCCTTTCTTTGTTACAGTCCCCTTCAACTCTCTCTTTTTTACATTTCTTGCTGTCTTCTGTGGATTGGCTGTCCCAGAGACATCTTCCAGCCAATCACATTTTCTTCTGTTGTTACCAGGTGAAACAGGTGAGGGTTCTGTCACCATTCCTAATGAAGGCCTGTGTTTGTCTGTACAGTACATCATCTTCCTCAGGTTGTGCAAATGTGTAGTCAAAATAAAGGGGCTGCACTTCTGAATTCCAAATATATCTCCTTTTGAAATTAAGCATTGGTCTCAAGCAATTAGAATAGAAGTTCATAGTGCAAATCATGAACTCCTTATGTCTGCTGTATTGTTAGCAGCGTCCCCTAAGGAAATCCTGACTGCACACAAGAGAACTGAAGTCATATCCCCCCCCCCACAAACCACGGTTCTCTCACACTCTCCTTCTTCCCCTGTCTCTACTAATGTAGTACTTAAATAGGTTTGTGAGGGTGGCACCCAAAATCCTAACTGGCAGTTTTTCCCAAAATCAACTTTGGGAAGAGCCACGACAACCACAGTTCAAGAAAGAGTCCATAAACAGAAATGTTGGCAGCCGGGGCAAGCGGTACAAGAATGTGCTCCCTAATCAACCTTGTAATTCGTGATGTGAAAAGAGTATGTGAGGTTAACTGTAGCACTGAATCCTTCACAGAAGGATCAGCAGCATTGTGAAAGATACGAAAGCAAAAACAATACACACACATATTGTTCATCATACTGTATATTAATAAGCTGCCCTGTCCAGCCCAGAGGCCTGGTCTACTGTGCCATGGCTAGACCACGCTTCCTCTACCACAGCAAAGCCAGGTCTGCTAGCTCTGACTGGGGGATAGTAAAAGGGACAAACCTGAAATACTTGGATAAGATCTGAGGAGTGGTTACCTTATAACTTTTTAAAATTAATTTTTATTTTCTGCTAATGCCTGTCATTGTATCGTTGAGCAGCTGTGGCACGTTTTAATATGCCAGTGCCAGGGAGATGAGTTTCAACCACCCAAGGAGTGTGTGAAAAGTATTGGAAAGGTGGTCACCCGGGGTGGAACATCGCGCACCTCTTTCTTTTGGTAAAGAACTAGCCACACTGAAGATGCTAAATACCAACAGGCCTTTAACCTATCCATTTTATTAGGTTACTGGTTGTTATGACCATGGGTGATCTCTTTATGGTTCTATTGCCAATGTATTTAATGAGCCTGCTGAATGCAGGGAGAACCAGTCTGACCAGAAAACAACATCCAAAATTTGGTCTCTGTAATATGGAGTTAATGGGTTTGTGTCACTGCAACTTTCAGTGGCCGAATCTTTCCATACGGGATCTTTTGAGATCTTTTTTTATGAATCGTCTGATGTGTGGGATGTACGTAGTCTTCTGTCATGACATTGTGATTTCTCTTACCTTGTTTTTCTTTCCAGCTAATTGTTGATCTCACGCAAGAGAGAGATTATCTCCAATCGCAACAGCCTCTGAGTCCTCTAAAAACATCAAGCCCAGCCTCTTCCCCAAACCCAGCCAGCCGCCTTTCCAATGAGGACAAACAGCATCTGTCTGTGGAGCTTGCAGACACAAAGGCTAAACTAAGGAGGATCAGACAGGAGCTGTAAGTATGAACACTAAGCCCCTAGGTCTGCTAGGGAGCTGTTGCTTCTTTGTGTGTTTTGTTGATCATAGACCTGCATGCAGAACATGTAGTTTTTTGCTTCATTGATGTGCAGTGGCAGTTTTGCATTTAGACATCTTGCAGAATAGGTCCCTACAGTGGAGGCCCCATTGCATGCCCCACCACCCCAAGAAGCTAAGTTGGGTAAGTACATGAGGGATATATTCCTCAGTAACAGCATCTTAGTTACCTGGATCTCCCTCCCAATAGAAATTAGATTAGCTCCATTGTCAATTAGCATCCCATGGATGGTTAGAACTGTAATATTCTATATGGTCTATGTTTATTAAAGCCTATTTTATAGGTAGCATTTAAAAGCATGTATCTGTTTTACATATATTTCAAATCCCTGGTGGGCAAAAAAAAAAATAGCTGACAAATATGACTGATAAAAAACTGAATAAAATGCCCCATCTTCTTTCTAAAAAAATGATGATTTGTTTATGTCAGAAAGCCTGTGGGTACTCCACTAATTTGGAACTCATTGTTAAGAAGTTTGGGGTAGCCCCTTCATTGTTGTCCTCATGTAGTCTAAGCCATTTTATTCAGGCAGGCCTTCAACTATAGACATCCCAGTGACAAGGAGTTTGGCACTAGGTGTGCTGAATTTCTTACATGTAATATAAAATCTGCCTTCCCCTTTCTTTACTGAGATGTTTTAAAATGTTTTAATGTTAGTTGCTTTTCAGTCTTATAATGGTTTCAATTATATTTCAATATTCGTACTTACTGTCTTTTAGCTATACTTTTGTCTTAACTGCATTGCAAGCAGGGTCAGAGTCAGTGCACCATTAATGTGCAAACAATCAGACTGTAATGATCAGAACCAAGACTTCAGATGGTGTGGAACATTCTACTTGTATCCAAGTGAACATGAATGGATATTCTCTAGTCAACAAGGGGATGTCAGAGACTCAGAGAGGGGCAGAGGTATGGAGACAAGATGCAGTATAGCATTCATGGCCCCTATCCTTCTACTCACGTGCAGCTATGAAGTATTTGAGCAACAGTAGATGGTGGGGAAAATGTTCCCATTTTTTGTCTGTCTCCAGAAAGATGTTTTAACTGTTTCACATTGCCAAAAGCAGCATCTTCTTGTCAAATTGTCTCTCTCTACTTCTTAATGTGCTGCATTGCTTTACTATGTGTTACGAGGCCACCAAGTGCACTTCTCCACACTTGCCAGAAGCAGCCCATGGCCTGGTATACTTGACTGCTCATGTGATTCAAAGATGTGTGTCTTCCCCTGTTGTCAGCTGTTTCTCTGCATGCAGTTTAGAAAACTTACGGGAAGATGCAACACTCCTGGGCCACCCATGCATTGGCTGCTCTGAGGCTTTGGAGCTCCCTGTCTTCTGGCCTCCTTGTTGTTATTTTTGTTTTGCCAGCTGGCACAAGCCTTCTATTTAGGCTGGTTTTTGGCAACTGGCTGCCTTCTGAGGAACAAGCTGTTAAGCAGATGCTGTTTCCTTTATTTTCTTTATTGATACAAATTTAAATTTTCTTTAGATATTTGGTTTTTTAAAAACGTGTTTTAATTATGTCTGCATTAATTTCTACAATTAAACGCCTTATTTTCGGACTGAAGGTCTAAATACAAATCTAATGAATAAACAAACATCAGGTAGCTTTCTCTTGACCTCTTTTTTCCTGACAGATTTCCTGCTTTTCTGTTTTCACTTCCCCCTTCTGCCTCTCCTAATTTCTCAGTGTCAGGTTGGGTTCGGTTTTAATATCATTTGTGCTTCATTGTGTGGCTTTTTTCAATATACTTCTTTTTGTTCTGGTTTGGCAGAGGGTCGTAGCTGACTCGGAAATATGAACATATATTATAAAAAACACAACTGTTTAAATAGCAAAGCCTGCTTTTTGTTGGCATGGGGTGCTTGTTTATCTTGATAAATTAGCAGTAAGAAAACTTGAATCATGTTGCCATTTCTCATCAAGGCCTTGATATATATCTCACTAGAATGTTCACAGTGGATTGATAGTTTTCAAGATAGGCTTGGTAGTTTGCAACTAAATTTTATGAAATCCTCAGGGAAGAAAAATCAGAGCAACTTGTTGACACAAGACATGAAGTTGACCAGCTAGTCTTGGAACTGCAGAGAATAAAGCAGGAGGTAAGCATATATGTAATAAAAGAGAGCTGTTAAATTATACTGGAAGAATGTATGTGAATGTGCAAGTATTCTGTTTCTCAGAACTTCAAAGTACTTCAGATAGTGCCAAAATGTAGGGTCTGTTCTTCACTTTCACTAAGGAGCTTCAGGTATGCATAAGGAAATAGCCAAGAACAGAATCAAGTGTAGTTAGTTAATGAATGTCTCACCTATGTTTAAAAGCAAGATGCTGATCTACTGATGGTCCCTTTTGGAAGCACACAGTTTATGGAATCAAGAAGACAGGGAAACAACATGGGGTAATAGCCCATTCAAAATCTCTTGCTCTCCTTCCTGTGAACCATTAATGGGTCAAATGTATACCCCACCAATACAGTTTGCTTTCTTACTTTGCTTCCTGGAATTCAAAGTTCTTCAACCAAAGAGAATGAGAGAGAGAGAAACCAAATGCTGTACCAACTATGCAAACATTCCCAGGTTTTCAGGCTGGTCTTCTCCATGGATAAATAAAAACATGCATTAAATGAGTTCTGAAATGTTTTCTGACCCCATGAGAATTCCAGTGCATTAAGAATAATAGTAGGATAACAGTTGTGTTTAGGGTTTAATGCACACATTATGTAATTCCTAAACTTGTTGAGAACCCCAGTGCAACTACTGGGGAGCAAACCCACTGACAACCAGAATATGGTATGTATCAGCGTGATTCACAAAAAAAAAGACATGTGATTTGTTTTGTCCTAACACATTACATTGTATAGAACAAAAGGTGTACCCCATGGTAAAAAGTTGTTGACTTGTTGGAATAAACAACTGTATAAATGGTAAATTGTTGGTACCCAAGAAACACTGCTTAGTACTCCTTAGATGACATTTTAGTAGATTGCCTATCTTGCAGGTCTAATTTTCTGTGGAAAGTGACTATGGAAGATTAAAATATCCTGTCCTGTTAGGTGAGCAGTATAGACTGACATGTTTTATTTGGTATAAGCTTTTATAGACTGCTTTATTACTTTATCAGATGCAATAATAAAAACTTCCTTCGATGCAGTAATGGAAATTGAATCTTTAAGGTGCCACAAGATACCCCCTCTTTTTTTTCTACAACAGGCTAGCAGGGCTACCCTGCCTGGAGTTATTATGAATAAACTGCTTAAAAATGTTGTTGTCCTGTTTTTATTTCATTCAGAACATAAATCTCATGGCAGATGCCCGCTCTGCTCGAGCCTATAGAGATGAATTGGATTCCTTAAGAGAAAAAGCAAACAGAGTAGAGAAACTTGAGATGGAGCTGGTCCGGTGTAAAGAGAAACTACACGATGTGGATTTCTACAGAGCACGGATGGAGGCAAGCTAAGTTTTTAGTAAGGGAACTGTGGGGAAGCCAGCCACTTTGCTATTTACTTGCCTGCAGAGATGTATGTTCCTTGACATAAGGATTGCTTTGTGTACTTTTGTGGTGGTTTATCAGTGTCTTATTGAAAGCATATTGTTGTGAGCCGCCCAGAGACCTCTGGGTAGATTGAGCAGCATAGAAATTAAATGAATGAATGAATGAATGAATGAATAAATAAATAAATAAATAAATATGGGTGCTATGTACATATCAGTACATATCAATTTTATGTACATATCAGTACATATCAATTTTATTTATTTTCATTTGAAAATTGACAGTTTCATTTTTGCAAGTGGTTTTGTTTAGATTGATTTAGTATACAATGTGTGAATGTTTGGAGGCTTGTTTTTGGGGTTGGTTGCCTTTTATCCTTAATTCCCAAGGATGATTTTTAAAAATATTGGCTTGTCTTATATTGTGTAATAAAAGCCTATAAAGCTGTTTCAGGGAATGGTCTGAAATAAGATTTGCAATGGTTAGTTTTTGAGAATCTCCCAGCCAGTGATGCCAATGTAGTTCCAAAATTCAACTTTCAAAGCACTGGTCTCAAGATTACATCAAGTGACACCTCTATTAAGCTATGTCTGGTCATTCCTGGGTAAGGGAGTCCTACATGAAAACCTGGCAAGCTGCTTCTGGCCAGTGTGACCAGTGCTGGGCTAAATGGACCAAGGGCCTGACTCATCCATTATAAGGCAGCATCTTATTACCTATATGCGCCCCACACCTAAACATTCTTTAAAAACAGCTGCTACAAATAGACAATGATGGTGAAGATATTGATGTTGATGTGCTTTTAAGTCACCACTAATTTACGGCAACTCTATGAAGGAGTAATCTCCAAAATGTCCTGTCACGTGTGCAGCTCTTGCAAATGCTAGAAAGATAGGAAATATTTTTCTGCTGGGTTGACTTCTCTACAAACCTGTAGCCCCAAGTAAAGGCCCAGTTGCTCTCTCTTCTTCTCCCCCAGAAACCAGAAGAGCTGTGGAGGAGACAAGGTGTCAGTGGCCCTGTCTTCAGCCTAGTGTACAATTTCTTAAAATTTCCTGTTGCATAGCGGAACTGGCTGACTCTAAAACCTACCTCCAGGTTTTCACTACTGTGTTTGGAATTGTGGAACATAAGTTGCATTGGCACAAAATGCTAAGTTAGAATCGCTGAGAATTCCACCTTATCAGTAAGGAACAGTGCAAAATAGAAATTTAGCAGGGCAGAAAATCTTGTCCATATACAGGTCAGCCTCTCATAAGATGCCAGCTTTGCAATTTTAACTTGAGTATCCTTATGTAGTAAACAATCTTTACCTTGCCTTGAGGTTTCTGCACCTCTGCAAGTTGCAAATTAGCTTGCTTTTCTTTGGTCTTTGGTTCTCCGATTTCGATACCTTTATTGGCATATGAACAGACAGGAGCAAAACGTAGATACAAACCAAACAATAATCAAGAGAAAAGTAAAATGAGAAATACACTCAAAACAGCAAGTAATATCATAGGTTGTGGGTTAAAATAGAAGTTTCCAATAGATATCCTGCAACGGCAGATGTAATCAAAGGACAAGAATCACTCAGGAAAAAGGCTAAGGAGTTGGGAAAAAAGGAAAGCCACGGTTCTAGGAAAAGCTTTCTCAGAGAAGAATGAGCCAGGCAGTGAAATAAAATATGGTCCAGGGAGTCTGGTAGAGTATGACAGAAAAAACAAAGCCTGTTTACACGGGGAATCTTGGAGAAACGGCCTACATGGACCGCCGAAGGGAAAATATTCAGGTCTTTGGTTCTCAGGAGACAATCACAGGTCTCATTTGCAAGTTAACTGCACAGCTTTGAATGAATGCTTCTCTGCAGGGGTGACATTTTATCACCTGCTAAGGACTGATATAGTCTGACCCTCAGATTCTTAGCATGTCTCTCCTGTTAAGAAGTCTGATCCATAAGCCAACTCCCTGTTTTGAGATTTAGAGTTGTCGGAAGAGGAAGTTTGGGTTCAGACACAATATGAAACTTTTCTGCTGTGGTGTCATTCTGGCTAGTTTAGATGCTTCCACTTGTAGGAGGAGCAAGCAGGAGGGACATGGCATTGTGAACCAACATGCTACATGTTACTACTAAGATAGATTTCTCAGCCATTCTAGGTAAAGGTAAAGGTTCCCCTTGACAATTTTTGTCCAGTTGTGTCCGACTCTAGGGGGCGGCACTCATCCCGCTCTTCAAGCCATAGAGCCAGCGTTTGTCCGAAGACAATCTTTCTGTGGTCACATGGCCAGTGTGATTTAGACACGGAACGCTGTTTACCTTCCCACCGAGCTGGTACCTATTTATCTACTCGCATTTGCATGCTTTCGAACCGCTAGGTTGGCGGGAGCTGGGACAAGCAACGGGCGCTCACTCCATCGCGTGGATTCGATCTTACGACTGCTTGGTCTTCTGACCCTGCAGCACAGGCTTCTGCGGTTTAGCCCACAGCGCCACCACGTCCCTCTTCAGCCATTCTAGCTTAACTATTATTTGCAAATGTATTAATGTACCTTTTGAAAATTTAGTATTGAGGATTTCAAGATTCTAAGGAGCTCCTCCTGTAAAATATGTATGAGACTCGTGCCTCAAGGGGCATGTTTGTCCCAAAACATTGCTGTGCTTTATTGAATACATGAACGTTCTCTATTCATAATTATTTGTTTTAAGAAAGAAAAAGAAAAAGCCTGCTGGGTAGCCCCAGTGTTGTTACCAGTCTAGCAGTGCAAAAAAGAGCAGTATTAATAGGTTTCCTCTGAGTATTAATAAGTGTCTTCTAGTCCCTCATAAATCTTCCTCAACATTCCTCTCCTTTGACTAGTGTGCTGCTCTGGGAGATTTGATTCCTTCAGAAAATTGCTTGATAGTCTTTTCTCCTGCTAATGACCAAGAATCCCCCAAAGAAGTAGGAGGAAGGGGGTTGGGAACATAAAAATGAACAGGGTATGCAACTTTTAAGAATGCACCTATTTATGCTTTTACATTGTTCTTGAGCCCTCTCCTGCTGAGACTTACTGTAAGAAGTTAAATAGTTCCTCCAGCTAACTTGAAGCTGTGAAAAGCTGTTTGCACAGGATTTTTAGTTAACTATAGAAGAAGTTGTGTTTAATTGCCTCTTTTGTTAATTAAAGGAAATAAATCTTCATGTCTACATTGTTTACTTTATTGCTTACTTTTAACACGAATAGGAGTCAGTGTCTTTTGAGGTCATTGCTATAGGGAATATTGTTCTCTAACATGAAGATTCACAGTTTGGTAAAACAATAGTTTCAATTAAAAGTGTTGCTTCTGGTAACAGTTTGAACAATGGGTACATTGTGTGGATTAGATGGGCGACCATAAGTAGAGTTTTTATTCTGCTTTAGGGCTTCACAGGGTTACACAGAGTGATCTTATGCATATGTTCTTGTCATGGGGAAGGATATGCTTTCTTGCACCAGAGTACCAGGCTGTTTGAGGAAGGGTGGTGTGCCTGCTTTGAAAGTATGGTGGCTATAAATATAACAGGTTGCATCTATTCTCTTTCTCTTAAGGCAGCTTTCTGAGGTAAATAGGTGAGCTCAAGGATTAGAGGGGTTGTCTACACCATTATTTCATTGTGTTGTCAGAATTCAGCAGTTTATATTATTTAATAAAAGTGATGTGTCTTTGTTTTCCTGATCGTTAGTGAACTAGCAAAGATAATCCATGGTTTAAGACATTGGTGTCAAGATGTGCCCATTTAATCGGGGGGGGGGCGATTGGAGAGGAAACAGTTTATCAAGTGAATGAATGAATGAATAATCAGTCTATGTTTTCACGAAGGGTTTCACGGCCATTTGGTTTTTCGGGCTCTTTGGCGGTGTTCTCAAGGTTGTTCTTCCAACATTTCACCAGTCTCTGTGGCTGGCATCTTCAGAAGACAGCACTCTGTGCTCTGATGTATAGGCTTGGGAGTGGAGTATTTATGGCTTCCACTTTCTGTTTCAGGATGCCCCATAGATGCTTTAGGTCTGGAGACATGCCTGGCCAGTCCGTCACCTTTACCCTCAGCTTCTTTAGCAAGGCAGTGGTTGTTTTGGAGTTGTGTTTGGGGTCGTCATCATGTTGGAATATTGCCCTGCAGCCCAGTCTCCGAAGGGTGGGGATCATGCTCTGCTTCAGTATGTCACAGGACATGTTGGCATTCATGGTTCCCTCAATGAATTGTAGCTCCCCAGTGCCGACAGCACTCATGCAGCCCCAGACTATGACACTCCCACCACCATGCTTGACTGTAGGCATGACACACTTGTCTTTGTATTCCTCACTCGGTTGCTGCCATGCACATTTGACCTCATCTGAACCAAATAAATTTATCTTGGTCTCATCGGTCCAGAGGGCATGGTTCCAGAAACCCATGTCCTTATTCTGCTTGTCTGCAGCAATGAGCTGGCTATGGCTGCTGCCTACCCCTGCTATAAAATAAGTCTGAGGCCATCACCCCTTTGGGCGTGTCATGACAGACAGGACCCAAAAGGATGGTTCTCTCCACAGAAGGAAATTGAGTAGGGTAATCCCCTCCCCCTGTTCTCTGCATCCCTCTTGCACATTCCCAAAATCTGGTGTGGTGGAAGTTGAGTCATGGCAACTTGACTTCTTATCTGGATATAACACTGAGCACGGGCACCTCAACTTTTTTAGTCGCCGATGGCAAGACTTGTTCTGAGTGCAACCTGTCCTCTTAAACCGCTGTATGTTCTTGGCCACCATGCTGCAGTTCAGTTTCAGGGTTTTGACAATCTTCTTATAGCCTAGGCCATCTTTATGTAGAGCAACAATTCGTTTTTTTCAAATCCTCAGATAGTTCATAACCATGAGGTGCTATGTGGAACTTCCAGTGACCAGTCTGAGAGAGTGAGAGGAATAACACCTATTCCCCCTTCACACCTGAGACTTGTGACACTAACGGGTTTCATGACACCAGGGAGGGAAAACAGCTACTTGGGCCCAATTTGGACATTGTCCCTTAGGGGTGTACTCATTTTTGTTGCCAGCGCTTTAGACATTAATGGCTGTTGCATATTTTGAGGGGACAGCACATTTACACCGTTATGTGTCACCGTTATACAAGCTATATACTCACTGCTTTACATTGTAGCCAAGTGTCATTTCTTCAGTGTTGTCACATGAAAGGATATACTAAAATATTTATGAAATGTGAGGAGGGTGTACTCACTTCTGTGATATACTGCCCTGGTGTTCATGAAGCATGGAGGACTGCTGCCAAATGGAAGAGAGAAAGGAGTTGCTTTGTGTTTATGATCAGCTCCCCACACAATGTTGGTTTCAGGCTAATATTAATTCATCCTTCTATCCATTCTTTACATTTATATCACTTTTCCCCTACTTGATCCACATAACAGTCGTGTCAGGAAGAGTGAGCTGAGAAAGAATGACTGTCCTACAGTCGATCACTCAGTGAGTTTCGTGGTTCAATAAGGACAGGAAGTCAAATCTTCCAGTCCAACACTCTCCAATCGTAACACCAAACTGGTGTATCTGGGAATAAGGTTATTTTGAAATTAACCAGACTTGCTTCTAAGGAGGTGTGTACAGGATCAGGTTGTAAAGGAGAATGTAGCCTGCATGGAACTTTAAGAAGATCGTTTCCCATTGTAAACACCGCCATGAGAAATGCTGGCCCCACCCTAATGTTGAAAATATGAAGCTGTGTGGGTACCAGGAGAATAGATCTCAACAGGAAGAGCAGCCAGGAAAGCCCTTTCCTCCCCATTGTTTTGGCTTAATATTTCTCATAAGAATAAAGCACAGATTTGAAGGTTGGGTCAAGATCCTTTTGTTCTTAAGGACAATCAGTTAATATTAATGTTTTGTTTGCTCTCTAGTTACAGCTTTGACATAATGATTTTGTTAATAAAGTTCCCTGCTCTGCATGATGTATGATTTTTCTCTTGACACAATTTCCATTTTAATAGTAACATGGACTTGCAACCCTAAAAGTCAAACATGAGCTATAAAAACTGTAGTATGCTGTTGCTACTGTATTAAACTTAAGTATTTTAGAATTTTAACTGGCATTTGAAACCTTAATGAAATTGTCCTCAGTGTTAAGAATACATTATCTCCTTTTTAAAAAATTTGCAGGAGCTTAGAGAAGACAACATAATATTAATTGAAACAAAGACGATGCTAGAAGAACAGCTGATGATAGCAAGAGCTCGTGGTGATAAACTGCATGAAGTTGAAAAGGAGAACTTACAGTTGAAATCCAAACTTCATGACATAGAACTGGTACACCTTGATGTCACTTAATTATTGATGAGGATGTTGGTTTTATTATTACTGTTTTTAAGAATGATTTTTTTCCCAAGAAGTACAATCGTGTATGTTTCCCATCAAGTGCCAGAATTTCCTTTGGAACAGAATGTAAAGTCTGAGAAAACAAAATTAAGCTGATGAGAGTGTTGCTCAATTACTCTAGTACAGGGGTTCCAAACCTTGGGTAACCTAGGTGGTCCTGACCTGCAAGAGCATAATATTTTTTCTACCAATCTACTTGGTGGGAGAAAGGTGATGCAAAAGATAGGGGCTTCTTCCTATGAGCAACAGTGAAATATTACAAGTCTCCATGTTTTAACAAACCAGAATTGTTGGGCATTACTGGGCTCAATTCCCAGATTAGTTCTACTTAGAGTAGGCAGACTGGCTCAGTGCAACTTAGATAAGTCCCATTTATTCTATAGGGCTACTCTGTTTCCGAATAACAGTTGTTGTTTTTCCTCTGCCTTTAAGGAAACCTTCAAAGTAGACTTTCCTTGGTTAATAATAAGCCAGCTTTCATTTCCTATGTGCTGCTTCTTCCATTAGGACAGGGATACTGATAAAAAGAGAATTGAAGAGCTCCTGGAAGAGAATATGGTGCTGGAGATTGCGCAGAAACAAAGCATGAATGAATCTGTACACTTGGGCAGGGAACTGGAGCAGCTGTCCAAGAGCACAGATCTCTCAGACAGTAAGTAAACATGGTGTGTGTGTGTGTGTTTTGTCATCTGATGAAAGTTAAGCACAATTCTGATCAACATGTTTTAATGCTGGCTTAGACAAATGAAAGACCAAAAATTTAAACAAAAATGAAAAACATTTTCATACTAAGCTTTATAAATATAAAAGGTAGTTTATGTCTTATTCTTGTCATATCTGTTTCCTTCCTCTCTGTTTTCATTTCTAATAGTCTTGCTGCTAGACAGGATAGAATGAATTACTGCTTTGGGACCTCCATTAAAGACCATCAAATTGCCATTTATTTATCTCATTTTTTAAAGCAATGAGGTTGGCTCACCATTTGAATCAAATGGACAGTGCCTGCTTAAAATGGCAATAATTAAAAGTTATTGTTGGACTATTGTCTTACAATGGGCTTGCAAGGTTTTCTAGCCCTTGTCAGCTAGCACAAGGCACATCTTTATGTTGGCAATTTTGAGTCTTGGATTTTTAGCTGATGACCTAATCAAAAATCCTACAATTGTATAGACAGTGAGGCACAAAACATGTCTGTGTAATTTAAAATGAGATTAGTTCACTTTAATTTTTAGAAAATATTTTGAACTTAAATGTGGAAGAGTGTTTTGCTTTGTTTAAATCTTGAGTTTCTTATTAATTTTTATGATGGTAGTGATCTAATGAACTGATACATATCAAATGCTGATGGCCTACCAATCATCGTTAGTAAACTTAAGAGCCACGCTTGTTCTAAACAAGTCATCAGCCTCAACATTAAGCAAAACCAGACTATCCCTTAATGAAACATTAATCTCAGATTCTGTTTTCAAAAAAAAGCTCTGGTTATTATTAATTGTGAGCCTGCCAGTGCTAAGGCAGAAATTCGCCCTAGCAATAGCACGAGCTGTATGGAGGAGGCTGCCCTTCCTGAGGTAATGCAGTAATGCAGCCCAGACTCTGCTCATGACCTGGATTCAATCCCAGGCAGCTGTCTCAAGGTTCACTCAGTCTTCCATCCTTCTGAGGTCAATAAATTGAGTATCCAGCTTGCTTGGGGGGTGGGCAATGTGTACCCTGCATAATTAAATCTTAAACAATCATAGAGTGCTTTAAGCACTATGGGATGGTATATAAGCAGCACACGTTGCTTTTAATTTTGCTATTTGTGGTTATCTATAATATTGTTAAAGTCAGCAGCATTTAAGATTATATGTATTTGGATTTTTGAATTTGTAGATGACAGGACACACAATTTCAAAAACTGAAGTAATGCAACTTGTGTTTGGGGGTATGCTTTTCTTATGTGCTGTCAAGTTTGGATTGACTTAATTGTCAAGTGTGAAGTTAGAACTGACCCTAATAAGGCTTTCAAGGTAAATGAGGTCTTTAAGTAGTAGACCTCCCAGTGTGTTGTCATGGCTGAGCAGGAATTGGATCCAGGTCGGTGAAATCCCCACTGGATGGTGGAACAGTGTCCCCTTAATCTCTCCCCTTATTTTTCAAGGAGTGGTACTTACACAAGTGGACTGATGCATATGGGATTGAGAAATAGCTTTCTAATTATGGCTAGTTGGCTAGATGGCCCAGTGTATTGGATACTTGGGTGCAGAGCCAGAAGTCGGTGGTTCAATTCTCCTCTGTGCCTCCTGGAAGTAGAGCTTGCTCATGTAGCCTTGGGTGAGCTGCACAATCTCAGAGCACCTCCAGAAGAAGGGAATGGTCAACCACTTCTGATTACTCTATACCACAGCTGGTACACAGAGCCTTCTCTGTGAAAACGCAAGCCATAAGTTGCTAGATCCCTATCCCCGGCAACCAAACCTGAGGAGGTGGCTGAAGCCACGGTGCTAGTGCCCCAACAGGCGGCAGGCCAGGATCTGAAGCAGCTGGAGGTGGGTATAATTGGAGGTGGATCCAGAGTGGGATCTTCTGGAGACACTTCTGTCTCTGGGATTCCCCCTTCCGCTGCCACTTCTGCTTAGACAGCGCCACCTGATGGGTTGGGGTTTTGTTTTTTTCCAGTTTGAGGCTCAAAAAGGTTCTCCATCACTGCTCTATACCAACAACATCCTGGAAAGGGTTGCTACTGTTGTTATTGTTGTTGTCATCTTGATAGTAGATTCTTGTTTATGAATCTGAAACAGCTGGATTTTTCTGGACATTCTATTTCAACAGCAAGGAAATCTTTTGTCTTTGAACTGAATGAATGTGCATCAAGTCGCATCTTGAAGCTTGAAAAAGACAACCAGAGCTTGCAAAATATCATCCAGGAGCTGAGGGATGCATCTGTAACTACTGAAGAGAATAGTCTCAGATTTGTGGAAATGAAGAATGAGAATCAACAGCTTGGACAGAAAGTGGGTAACAACGTTAGTTGATGGTTGTTGTGGGTTTTTCGGGCTCTTTGGCCATGTTCTGAAGGTTGTTCTTCCTGACGTTTTGCCAATCTCTGTGGCCGGCATCTTCAGAGGATACATTAAACATTAGTTGAACTTATCAAGAGTTGTCTGAATCCTGAAATGAACCTTCTGGTCAGTGTTAGCAACTTAGTTCAAGTTTTTATACCTGCCCTACTTTCAAGTGTGTCAGATTTTTCTTTGTGCTCATATAATAGCACTCTGTTGATTTCTTTGGTTTGTAAGACAAGACAGAGTTGCTGCTGCTGCTGCTCAAAGTAGAACTGTACTGGACAAGGTGGGCCTATGGTCCTAACATGGTATAGGATAGCTTTAACACAGAACTCTCTATTGACAGATCCAAAAGTTGATGATTGGGGAGATACCCTGGGATAGATCATGTGTCATGGCAAAGTGCATGTGCCTAATCACTTTCAGTAATGTTAATTTTAATTCCTACAAGTCCTAATCATACATCCAAGTGACATATAAACCACTTGCCTTGAGCTAAATTGCTTTAATTTTTCATCCCAAATGTCTATAGAGAGGAAGAAAGCAAATTAAACAGACATCCCCATTTCATTTTTGGTCTCCTGGGAGACTCTTGTGAACAACAGTCATTACTCCAGAAGATTTATATTCTGGCATTCAGCTTACATCTCCCTGGGGACCAATGAAGCATGTTGCTGTTCCACTTCTAAAGGTTAAATGGTTTTATCTACTTAATAGGAAGAGCCATCTTATCTAATATAGGCTAATGTATACTTGTAATCTGGCAGCCTACACACACATCTTTCTTGAATGCAGCCATATGTTGTCACTGACAGTATTGAGAATATCTTACTTAGCTTATTTTAGGTACAAATAATAACTTCAATAGGCTTGTTTAGATGCTGGGCAGAAGCTGGATACTCTTTGTCAGTGTAAAGCCTGATGCTGAAAATACCTTCCTTTGTCCCTCCTTCACCCCACCACCAGCACTGACTTAGAGTCAATCTCTCTCTGTCTCTGTCTCTCTCTCTGTCTCTCTCTCTGTCTCTCTGTCTCTCTCTCTGTCTCTGTCTCTCTCTCTGTCTCTCTCTGTCTCTCTCTCTCTCTCTCTCTCTCTCTCTGTCTCTCTCTCTCTCTCTCTCTTCCTTTCCCTCTCTTTCTCTCTCNCACACACACACACACACACACACACACACACACACACACACACACACACACACACTCTCCCCTCTATAACAGTGGTTCTAAACCAAAGATAAGCTGTCACTGATGAACATAGAAGCAGCAAATGTGGGACAGAAGATTTTCACAACATGGAATTATAGAATTCCTCATGCTCTAGTTATAACTGTAACATGTACAGTATTGGGTTTATATTGTTAATTATCTTTTTGTTTTACAGATACCATACTAACGAAATATATATTGAACAGTTTTATTACAATTTCCAACTACTAATATTTATTATTTCTGTTGGCTTGTGTCTATTCCCAACAATACTACTGCAATGTTTAGGTCTTTAAAATTGCCATAGATACCAAATATAATAACAGAATACTTGTAAACATTAAAATGTCCCTAGAAAAAGACAGGTTTTGTTTATGTCCCTTTGTATTTGACGATGTAGTCACAGCCTTAATTCACTTTAGCTCTTAGAATCTTTATCATCTAAGAGTGTATAAGTCCCCTTTAAAATGTACGTCTTCTACAGGATCTGTGTGCACGTTTTAACTTATCCATGGTCTTACTTTGACAAAAGTGATTAGTGGAAGATAAAGAAAGTTGAGAATTGCTTTTCCCTTAACTATGTCTGATTTTTTTTAATACTTGTGAGCCTACCTTAAGTCCTGTAAAGAAGAAATGTTGGTATAAAGTTTGGAAGCTATGTAATGGTTGGGGAAGGCCACCGAAGACAGATGGAGTAATGGAGATGTTGTATAAAAAAGCAAGAGGAGTTATGATGACACATTGATGAACTGTGGCTCAGTGCTGAACAAGCCTCAGCTGTGAGAGGATTAGAAGCTTTTGTGTCATTTTATTAATAATTTAGTGTTAAGGTCAGAACTGCAGGTAGCACAGTAGCTTAATGAAATAAGCCAACTTCAGGCATGGTTTATGAAATGGGCTTGATTCAGTATTCAGCTGTAATTAATGGTATAGGCTTAGAATGTTAAATTAAACTTTGGTTGATGAAAAATGGAAGCCACATGTTTTCATCTTTCATCATCACTCTAGTGAAGGGGATAAAAAGGAGGACACCACAGCCCAAGGTTCAATCACATAGAGCCTTACCATAGTTTTGTTCAGTGGTGGACAAAATGTGGCCCACAGATCACATGAAAGCGCCTCAGGGCTCCCACTGAAACTTCCCAGATAATGCCACCGTAATCCTCCTCTCCTAGGTTTTAGTCTCAGAACTGCAACTGAGTTCTTCAAAAATTCTGTAGTTTGCCATATAAACAGCATCTTGTGAAAGTTGACAACCAAAATATTTTGCTTGTTGACATGTCAACATTTCAATTACTTAGATTTGGTTCAGGAAAAGTATCAATGCATTGGCACCTTTTAAGTATCTGCTTTCTCACAATGATTGTTTTATGTGAAGAATACTCATTCAGCTTGGCATACATGATATATTATCTTAATCTTTTCCATGCAGATTGAGAAACTGCAAAACCAGATTGAAAGAGAGAAGCAAAGTAATCAAGACTTGGAGACTTTAAGTGAGGAACTCCTGAAAGAAAAGGAAGAGCTTCAGGAGAAGATGGAGACCTTGAAGGCAGACAAAGAGAGACAGGTGCAAAGATAGGCCTTGCAAGTTTCATCTCAGAGCCATATTTGGTTGGCTTACAAAAGAGGATATTGATTGTTGTTCCTGCTCAAAAATTTAATGCAAGGGCTGAGCATTCATTACACTTCATCTCATTAATCTCTACACAAATCTGTGTATTTTGGGGTACCTTTAGGCCCAAAGAGAAAATGCACTTCAAGTCACATATTGGCTGAAATCCTGTTGCTTGGCATAGTAAGTCATAACAAGAGTAGGTCCATTTGAATCAATGGAACATATGGAAAAGTTGATTCACCAAATCCCCATGATTCAGTGTGGACCTACTCTAGTGCAACTTATTACACTAAGCAACAGGATTTCAGGCATTGCAAGAGTGAAAACTGAGGTACAGAAGCAATTGTACACAGATTGTATTTTAAAAAATGTTGAGGGAACTGCCAGACCTTTGCTGTTGCTCTTTATAGCTTTAGTTATTCTTTAAAAGATAGAAGTTTGTCTTATATCATGCAAGATTGTTGGTGCATCTAGCCCTGGTAGCAGCAGTGGTGGGATGTTTTTAGCCACACTGATAGAGCTTGATCCTCAAACAGGGTCTGGTTATCTTCAAACACTGTAGCCAGAATCCTGTTGGTAGTTCCAGTGGGAGTAGGCCCACTGACAGACATGTTTGACACATGCTGGGCCTATTCTAGTTGGGAGTACCAAAAGGATTTAGGCCTATATCTTTTATAAGGTGGTAGTACTGCATAAGAAGAGCACCAAAGGTTTTTAACCTGTGTACGCAGTTTTTATACTTTGACATGCTGTGCTCTAATGTAGGTCATTATGTTCTGTATCTCGCAAGATGGAACTAGAGTTTGAGATTATTGTACTTGATATCCATATTAGATTTCTGGTATTTGATTAGTCTTCATCTTTTTTGTTTGTTTGTTTTGTTCTGAATGCAGATAAAAGACTTGGAAAAAGAAAAGGACCACCTCAACCGAGTAGTTTTGTCTCTGAGGCAGCGATCTCAAGTCAGTAGTGAGGCAAGGATGAAAGACATTGAAATGGAAAACAAAATACTACATGAGACAGTTACAGAGACTAGCAGTAAACTCAGCAAGCTAGAATTTGAGAAGAAGCAGTTGCAGAAGGACTTTGAGCAAGTTAAAGAAAAAGTGGAGAGAGTAGAAGAAATGGACAAAGAACTTCATCGTCTGGAGAGGGAGAATGAACAGCTCACAAAGAAAGTTGCAGCTATGAAAATTACCACAGAGAAAGTGGAGGTGCTTGAACAAGAAAATGGTAATCTGGAAACAGAGAATAGAAAGTTGAAAAAATCTCTAGATACTTTGCATAATGTTTCTGTCCGACTGGAGAGCCTGGAAAAGGACAACAAAGAATTAGATGAAGAGAACCTGGAACTGAGGAGAATGGTAGAGACGATGAGATTTACCAGCGTGAAAATGGCCCAGATTGAGGCAGAAAATAAAGAGTTGGAAAGGGAAAAAGAGGAGCTTAGGAAAAATGTAGAAATGTTAAAGGTTTTGATCAAGAAATCCGAAAGGTTGGAGCTGAGTTATCAGAGTGTGAATGCAGAAAATGAAAGACTCCAACAGATTGTGGAGAATAATGGCAAGAAGATCCAGGAGTTGGAGAAAGAACTGCAGGGTGCTGAAAGTGAAAATCAAACCCTCCAGAGAAAGCTAGAGGAGCTGAAAGTCTCAAACAGGCGGATGGAGTGGTTGGAAAAGGAGAAGAAACTATTGGAACAAGAGACGTCTCAATTGGATAAAGACAAGAAGGTGCTGGAGAGGGAGGCCAAAAAACTTTGGCAGCAGGTGGAGCTGAAAGATGCAAATCTGGATGAGAATAGTATCAGACTAGCAACAATGGAGAAGGAAAACAAGACACTAGAAAGAGAAGTTGCTAGATGTAAAGATTCGTTGAATAAGGTGAAAGAATTAGAAAAAGAAAATAAAGACCTTCTCAAGCAAGTTACCATTGATAAGAGAACACTAACAACATTGAGAGAGGCAAGCAAATTCATATTAATAGTTGTTGTCTGAACCATATGCATGCATCTCCCTTTTCAGCATCTAGTGTAGATGTACAAAAAATAATAGACATGATCTCTAGATGAAGAATTGGGGAGCCACTGTGTGGTGAATAGGAGTATTACATATTGTTGTGACATTGAGAAAGGTTGGATCCTTATGGCAGCTTGTGTAAGTTGTAGTAAAGTCCTCCAGCACCTACAACCACTGAATTGGTAAAATTATGTGAAACCTACCGCCTTAGTGCCTGCCTTGCTGATTGCTTACCCACAGAAATAAGGATCCTATTTCATAGTCTTAAATTGTACATTCAGGCACACAGGGCAGCAACATCTATGGTGACACAAGAAGGATTTACCCACTGAGGCCCAATTCAGACAAATGTGTCTCAGCTTCTTAAGCCAATATGCACACAAATGTATTTATTCACTCATGAAGCCTCTCCACTCAAGCCCTGAGGAAAGGAGCATGTCTCTAATTAACCACTGTTTCCCAAATATGGGTAACGAAAAATCTTAATCAATTAATCTACAGAAATTATAAAAATCTATTTAAATTCGCAAAAGAAAAAAAGACAAAGTGGGTCAATTTAAACCTATCAATGCTGGGGAGAATCGCTTTGATTAAGTCTTATATATTATCAAAATTTCAATTTCTATTCCAAAATATTCCATTACATCCAGATACAAAAAAAGTAAAACTATGGCAAGGAAAGCTAGAAAATTTTATTGCAGGAAAGGGAAAGAAGATAAGATTCATAAATAGTGTCAAATATAGACAGGGTCAAAGGGGGGGATTAGGGATACCACAGCTTCAAAAATATTATGAAGCTTTACAAATAAACCAAATTATTAAATTTGTACAAATTGACGAGACTTGTAAAAATTCTGATTGGGTCAAAGTGGAAAGTGAAATGAAAATGGACATAGTAAACAAGTATATTTACACTACTAAAAAAATTGTCCCCTCATGGATCATCCAGATTTTAAATCTAAAGAGAAATATGCACAATTTAAGGAATGGAAGCAAAAGAAACGGTTTTAAAGGTAGTGCATCGGTGGCATCTATACCCTACAAAACTACATAGAATTAATAAAGATATATCTGATAAATGTTGGAGGAACTGTGGACAAAAAGGAACTCTCAAACATATGTGGATATCTTGCCCCAAAATAGAAACTTTTTGGCAGGAGGTAGTTAGATGGATAGAAACACTGACTAATAATACAATATAAAGAGTTAGTTGCAAATCTTATAGGCACCGCAAGATCCGAAATAGCTAAAAATTGGAAAAAAGCCCAAGATCTCTCAGTGCAAGCATTCACAAGTAAAATATGGCATACATTGCTGATGGAAAAATGACTAATAAAGTTAGAGTACATAGAGGAGAAATAAGCCATAGTAAATTCACAGAAAATTGGAAGCCATTATTAAAATATGCCGACAAAATAGACTTTGAGACATGTGGTTTGAAAAGAAATTTAGATTGTTGGTCAATATTTCTTTAAATGGTGACGGGGAATGGTATATGTGTGAGTTGGAGAAATGTTGGGAATAGCTTTGTATTTACTATTTGTAATATGGTCGATTGTCTCTTAATTCTTTAGAAATAAAAAAAATTTAATTAATATAAATAAACAAAAAAACAAAAAACCCCACCACTGTTTCCCAAAATACTAGTTAGAAGAATAAGATTTAATGAGAGTTTAGCTATGCTTGTGAAACCTGGTGGCATAGTTTAGTTTATTTGCTTGTTCAAACAAATTTTGTACTATATATTTCTTCCATGGTAGAAAAGTAATGTACATAGACTTCCCAGGTTCCTATCCAGGGACTGACAACACTTAGACTTTGATTGGGAGAGCGTCAAGCACAGTTGTTGCAGCATGTATCTTCAGACCATCCCCTGGGCAGGCGCTGTTTATACCCTGTGCAGCGTGTCGGCCTTGACTATCATATTTGCTATCCCCAAACGGTCCCTGATGAAAACTGGTTACGCAAAAAAAAAAAAAAATTCTGGAACTTTCCAGGAGCACTAGTTTTGTAGCAAAATAGACTACAAGGCCCCAGTCCACAAAAATGAACACAAATGTTGACTTCCAGCAGGAGTTCTTTTTGACGTATAAAAGTTTTGCTCATTTGGGGGTTGGTATGGCTCACAACAGGTCCTGGGAGTAGAAGCATTAATGCCCAAACCCACTGAATCTACTAATCCTTTTATCTTACAGGATATAAAATATATACAAACATACAGTAATTCAGAGTGTTTATAGGCATATTCCCAGCAGTCCATTTTCATTTACTAGCCTTCACAAATGTTAAGTTGTTACTGATGGTCATATGCAAAAAAATTATAATGACTAAGAAGCTGTGCGTACTAGCCTTCACAAATGTTAAGTTGTCACTGATGGTCATATGCAAAAAAAATTATAATGACTAAGAAGCTGTGCAAGTTGAAACATAAGAACAGCAGCATAGGTCATATTTATTTGTCTTAGGTTAGCTATGCGCATCTGGTGATTACATAGTTTTTCTCCCCAACAGTCATCCCTTTTTACTGCTGAAATAGTATGAAGTGTAATCCAGAAGGCCTCCCAAATCTGCTGTTAAAGAGCATTTGTATGACAACATTCCTATTATTATGCTAATTAATTAAGTTATTTGGTGTTTAGGATTTGGTTCTTGAGAAATTAAAGAGTCAGAGGTTGTCTGATGATATGGACAAACTGGACCAGGAACTACAGAAGATTGGATTAAATAAGGAGTTACTCCTACAGGATGATAACAGCAATGATGACAAGTAAGAAGATTGCTTCTTTCTGATGGGGCTTTGGAAAGATTTTCTTCACCTTTTGTCATAACCGCTGGACGTCTGTTCTCTAGATTCTGGCTGAAATCTTGTTCATTTAAGTTTTAAGGTGTAAGGTTGAGGATGTCATCATCTAGGGCTTTTTTAAAAGAATTAAACACATTGCCTTTCTGTCCCAATGCCCCCAAGGGTCCTGAGGGGGGCTTTCATCATCAAAAAGCCATGGGTGCCGCAGAACAGGAGGAGGAAGTCTTTGTCTGAAATTACCACCACTATTAAGTCATCCTGCTGGTGGTGAGTAATTAAAGACTTCATAATTCTCTTTTATGGCCCCCATGGGTTCCAGACAATGAAGGTTATTGATTGGGAGCCTGGGTACAGGGGCAGCATATGGTTAATTTCGAAAACATTGCCCCATCTGATGACATCTTCAGCCTTTCACTCCAGAACTTACATGAACAGGATATCAACCTCTTGACACGTTTGTCAAAAGTAGATTGAAGGGTTGGTGACAGTTGAAACCGCCAATTCTGTTTTAGTGCTAAAAGATGGTACTTGATTGCTCATTCAGGAAGCATGTATGGGTAGAAGAAGCTTTTTCAAGGAACATATGTGAGTAGAAGAAGCTCCCCTGTCACACTAAACAAGCTGCACAGGATCAGCAGCAGAGGTCTTCCAAGCCATAATGCAGAGATGAACAGGATGATGTATTCCATATATTTGGGGCTGCAGGTCCAACAGGAACTAATCAGTATATTCAGTGGCCAAAGCAAGGGAGGGTGAGTCATGGATAATAACTGGTGTCAGAACTGAGATGCTGTCTGTATGGTAGCATTGATCCATGAGTTCTAGTTTGTCTCCCACCAAACCCTCCTGCTCACCCGGGAACCACCCAGGGATTTTTTTTTCTTGAATTCATGTTTCTAATCCAAGAAATAACTTTTTGTAATAACTTATTTTAAACAGGTGTTGTATGAGATCTTTTCTAGCATGACAAAGAATGGCTTATATTAATCAAATGGCAGTATCTGTATGTTTTCTATTACTGATACGTTATCATTTGTATTGCACAGGGCGTATAAGATCTTGGAAAGCAAAACTGAGTGTGTCCTAAAGAGAACACTAGCCAATAAAGAAGAGAAAATTGCTTTATTGGAGACTCAAATACAGGACTTTCTTAACTTAAATCATCAGTTACAGAATGAATTAAATATGGTAAGAGGAAAACCCCCAAGAGGGAGTGGGGTGGTGGAAAAGAGAGATATAAAGGGGGTGGCAGTGAAGGAGAAATGACTGCTGTCCTCTTTTGACTGTTGCCCCAACATTGGCAGCATAAAGGCCTCAACAGATTGCTTCTGAAAGAATGTGGCCCTCAACAGAAAAAAAATCTTTACCAGATTTTAAATGAATTCTTGGATCTCTTGGAAAAGAGCTCTGGATTAAGTTTTAAATAACAGTTCTGTGGGTCATAGAGTTGTATTCAGTGAAGCATTTTACAAAACCTGTGTCTACATTTACAGGTAAGAAAGGATTTTGAAGGTCTCAAGAAGAAGCAAGAGAATGGAAAGAATCTGCAGAATTCATCAGAACAGCCTAATGAAAATGTCATTTCCATTCATCAGGCAAAAGGGAAATGGGAAGAAGATCACAAAGAAGCAACAATGGAACTTTTGAAAGTGAATGACAGAGCTATAGAACTGGAAAGGAATGTAAGCTTTCTCCTTTCAAGTACAGCCATAACGTGGAATTACTTGTGTCCTTACGAATTGATTAATAATGATCACCATACCAAGTGACTGCTAGGTTGTATATATTTATGTCTGCTTCTATTTCCCTTATTGCCTTCAGTATCCTATAGGTGGAGAGAAGGCTTCTCTTTTAGAGCAGTTAGGTATTGAGGCCAGTGATTTAAGCTCTTATTTTTATTTCTAGTAGCTCTTCCTTCTAGAATGCCATGTTCCAGCTATGGAACATGCACATTTTGTGGGGAATCTTTTTTAAGGTGTGTACATTTACACATGACACGGCCCAGGATTCCACTCTGTCTCTCACTCCAGGACAGGAAAAAGGTCCCCTAAAACAGCCATTCTCAAGGCGGGGCCACATGGCCCACTGTGGGATCCTGAGCCACTTTAGGAGGGCCACAAACTGAAAAATGTGTGAAGTTGTGTATTTGTTTGACAGTGGATTCTGGAACCTGAAAAGAGCTCCTGAAAGGGCCGTGGCAAAAAAAGAGAGAGAGAGAGAGATGGAGAATGACTGTCCTATAATGTACTTAGTTCTTTTCTTGGGTTTCCATATTGGTAAGGTAAAGGTAAAGGTTCCCCTTGACAATTTTTGTCCAGTCGTGTTCGACTCTAGGTGGCGGTGCTCATCCCCGTTCCCAAGCCATAGAGCCAGCATTTGTCCGAAGACAATCTTCCGTGGTCACATGGCCAGTGCGACTTAGACACGGAACGCTGTTACCTTCCCACCGAGGTGGTCCCTATTTATCTACTTGCATTTGCATGCTTTCGAACCGCTAGGTTGGCCCATATTGGAAGGGAAGGCTATTGCAATGTGTAGCCTGCATAATTAAATTGTGAATCAATCCGAGAGAGCTTTGACTTGAGCACTGTGGGACAGTATATAAGTGCATGCTTTGCTTTGCTTTTGTTATTATTAGTGCTAACTGAATTACATTCAAGGAACATGCCTGCTATTGTTTACCTTCTCACTGGTAGGCTTTAAAGAGAAGTTCCTATTTTCTTCTGAACACCATTTGAAAGTCACTGATTAAAGGAACAGGAGGTGGAGCTTCATTTCTATTACTTGCTGCATTTTACAAGAGTTGGGGGCGGGGGGAAGGAAGACAGGCATGTTTTTTAACAGGCCAACAGATAGTTAGGTTGGCCTGCCTCTTGCCTTGAGATACAACTGATACTTGGCTGATTGGTTTTTCTGTTTAGTTCTCCAGCCGAGGTATGCTTCCCATCTGCTCTCTGGTCCCAGGGAGCTGGCAACTGGAATTTAATGTTCATTTTTAACAAGAAGGGGAAAAGTAAACACCCTGCAGCTGCTCCTTCTGTAGCAGATGGTGAAGGGTGGGCTGTCAGAGGCAGAGGGACAGACACTCTCTCTCTCTGGTGTTCTTTGATTCCCTGGCACCACACTGACCAGTTTAAGTTTAAGATCAGTAACTGAAAAGGCAGCTACACATTGTGCACTCTTGAGAGGTTTAAAAACAAGACAGACTCCCTTTGCATCATTGATAGTTTCAGAAAAGGTAGCAATTTCATGTATTTGTCCTGTCTTTTACGTTATGCTTCTCTCTTAGAATGCAGCCCTGCAGGCAGAGAAGCAGCTTCTGAAGGAACAGCTCAGACATTTGGAAACTCAGAATGGCTCCTTCAGCAATCAGATCCTGACACTGCAGAAGCATAATGCGTTCCTTCAAGAACACAACACAGCAATGCAAACGCAAACAGCCAAACTCCAGGTCAGAGAAATTCTTAGAAGTTGCAAACAGGAACTATCTAGGTGGCTTTATTTTAAAGAGGGCAGAACATAAACCCACTCCCTGTTAATTGGGGGGGGTGTTGTTTGTTTTGCATTGGTCTCATCATGTTTAAATGACAGTTGGGTTGAAAAGAAAAACAATCAGCACACCATTATCCTAAAATCAGTGAAAATAGTGGATGGACTAGTTCTTGAGAATATTGAAAAGTGATTTTATATTCTGTCAGGGCTTAGCTCTGTTGAAAAAGAAGAGAAACAGCACTCAGAAGCTGAATGTTGTACAGGAGTGCAATTACAGTTGCAGTATTCTGATCAGTCTTCTCATTTTGATGTTGAGAAAAATATGAATTATTTGAAAATGAAAATAGTTCAAATTACAGATTACAGTAGGGTCTTGACTTAAGAACGGCTCGAGTTAAGAACATTTTGACTTAAGAACCACTCTCATAGGAAAATATTGACTTGACTTACATACTTAGATTTGAGTTAAGAACTGAAAAAAACCCACGTGGGAGGCAGGGAAAGTGCAAAATGTGAACTTTCAGTTAACTGTTGGCCAGTGAAAAGGGTGGCTGTCTGCTTCCTCACTCCTCCCAGCGTTTAGAGAGTGGATTGGGAGACAGTCTTCGGACTTCCTGGTACTTGTACTGCCTGGACTGTCTTTTCCCTGCCTTCCCTGAACCTTTCTTGACCTAAGAAAAAAAGAAACAAAATATCCCCCTCTAGTGGTCGAAGGCGGAATAGCAGCTTCCCATTAGTTTCTATGGACGGAAAAGAGCAGATACGGATCAAATGGTTTTCAATGCATTCCTAATCAGTCTTCTCATTTTGCTGTTGAGAAAAATATGAATTATTTGAATATGAAAATAGTTCAAATTACAGCTTAGTCAGAAAATACAGCTACAATTTTAAACACGGCAACACTTAGGCTGCAATATTGGATCCATGAGAATGAAATTTAGGCTATATTCCACACTCCTGTTGGATACCACTTGGCTTTAGAACACAATTGTTTCCAATTCATTCCAATGGGAAATGCAGATTTGACCTGCAAACTTTTTGACTTGAGAACCGCCTTCCAATACGGATTAAGTTCTCAAGTCAAGACCCCACTGTAGTCAGAAAATACAGCTACAATTTTAAATATGGTACCACTTAGGCTGCAATATTGGATCCATGAGAATGAAATTTAGGCTATATTCCACACTCCTGTTGGATACCACTTGGCTTTAGAACAGAAAATGGCCATAAAGTTCTTTTGAGTAGAGCTTTTAGTCTGGCCTTTTCCAAAAAGAAAAGACGTATGTCCCCCTTCAGCTAACTCACATGGTTACCGCAGCCTGCGGGAACAGAAAAGAATGAGTACGTAAGCACCAAACCCTGTCTCAGTAGCACCATGGAGATATGTTAATTAGTAGGCTGAATCAAGCCATACAGTGGAGGATTTGATGCTGAAGAGAAAGAACGGGACCGGGATTGGAAGGTGGTATTCTTTTCCATGAACAGTAGAGCTAATCGTGTCGTTTATTCTCTCCAGTGTTCAGAATAAGTAATGTTTTATACACATACATACATATACACCCCAGGCTCAGAAAGATTGCGTAGATCATACGCTTGCTTGCCCATAAAGGGCATATACACCCCAGGCTCAGAAAGATTTTGGTCTAGGTAACAGAATGGAATTTAGTAGATCATACGCTTGCTTGCCCATAAAGGGCAGGTGAAGGTATCCAGTTCTGTCACTAAATGGCACTCATGAGGGAAGTGAGTGAAACACAATTACCCCTCCCTACACTTCACTACTTTGATCTCCCTGGCCTGCTTTTTTCTAATAGTGGCAATTTGTTGGCTGGAGTTTATTTTTTTAAAAAAAACAAAGCACCCTGGAAAGTAAGATGGAGAGACAAAATAGTTAGCTCTCCCCGGGCACTTCATGCTCCTTGTAGTGATAAAAGCAGACTGTCTCATCCCAGCTCAGATGGAACAATTTGGAGAAAAATACATTTTTGGACTGCAGCTTCCAAAATACTATTTGCCAGGTTGGCTAAAGGATTGTGGAAGTTCTGCTCCCAAAATGTAACATTTCCAACCTCAGTCTCTGCTTTGTAGACAAAGCTTCTTGCTCATGTTTTAGAAGATGCATATAGATCCATTTGAACCGAAATGAACTAATGGACTCAGTGTTTTCTTTGTGGAGGGGCAAAAACAACAACAACTAATCATCATACAACTGAAATATAAAACGCTTGCCATTTTTGTTTTTGCCTTTTGTGGCATTTCCTTTAATATATTGCTGGTGCATCAAGGTGTTCCTTATATTTCTTTTGGAAATGTTAGGTAGAGAATTCAACCTTAAATTCCCAGAGCGCCTCCTTGATGGCACAGAACACTTTGCTCCAAAACCAGCAGCTGGCCAAGGAGAATGAATATGACAACCTGCTGAAGCAGAAAGAACAGCTCAAAGCGCAATACGAGTCCCTCCTCCAAGACCATGAGCAACTGACATCGTTGCACGAGCGGCAGTCGACGGAGTACGAAACACTGATCCAGCAGCACAGCTGCCTCAAAGCTCTGCACAAAAATCTTGACCTGGAACACAAAGATCTAGGAGAAAGGTTGGGGTTCTTGCATAGTATCTCAGAAGAATAACTTTGTCTCAGCCAATGTGGAATTTTGTAGAAAGACAGACAGGGTAAACACATCCCTGCAGTAGAATAATTACACTCTTCAGGCTTTTGTTACAGTCTGTAAGATGGTTGCTGGCAAAAAGGACTGGGGTCTGTTTTTGTGGGCTCCAGTACCTTTAGAGCTCCCTGGCTTCTAGACATCTTTAAAAACAAAGAAATTAACTTTTTTTCTGATCAGAAAATCTACCCCATAACCCCCTCCCCCTGTTTTATTTTTAAGTTTTAAATTTTAATTTTCATAGATTTTCTTATTTTTAAAGGTTAGGTCAATTTCTCAGTTAGCAAAAGACCATTGCAGCAAACTTTACTTTTAAAAAATGTTTTAAAATGGAGTAAGCCAATTAATAGCTTTGCTCACACCCCTCCCTCTTTATTTATTTATTATTTTATTTTATTTATATTCCCTGCAGTAGAATAATTACACTCTTCAGGCTTTTGTTACAGTCTGTAAGATGGATGCTGGCAAAAAGGACTGGGGTCTGTTTTTGTGGGCTCCAGTACCTTTAGAGCTCCCTGGCTTCTAGACATCTTTAAAAACAAAGAAATTAACTTTTTTTCTGATCAGAAAATCTACCCCATAACCCCCTCCCCCTGTTTTATTTTTAAGTTTTAAATTTTAATTTTCATAGATTTTCTTATTTTTAAAGGTTAGGTCAATTTCTCAGTTAGCAAAAGACCATTGCAGCAAACTTTACTTTAAAAAAAAAAGGTTTTAAAATGGAGTAAGCCAATTAATATCTTTGCTCACACCCCTCCCTCTTTAGTCTCTGGGTCTCAGGAATGTGTGCCTGGAACTGCTGATAGATCTGACTCAGGAGTGTGTGCCTGGAACTGCTGATAGATCTGAAAGTGACCCTTAGCCTTACTAAAATCATGACCTCTGCTCTAAGATGTGGATGGCAGTACTCTGTACCACCTGCCCAATCCAGTCCACTAAATGTTCAGATTTGGCCCACAGAGGGTCCTTTCCCCCTGCCAAAGCTATTCAGGGTTCACTCCTTCCTGCCTTCTGATGGGCCAGGCATTTTACAGTTTGGGAGTTCAGCACTTTTAGATCATACTGGAATGGGAGAGAATAAAGCAGATGCTTAGAAATGCTTAATGTTTTATAATAAACTATCAGAATTTTTGAGGCAAAGGACAGCTCTTATTTCTGGTTCTTGTCTTTATAGTGAGAAGCGCTGAGGGAAAATAAAAGCTGTTCTTACTCTCCTTTGCAGATATAACAGCTTGATACAACACAAAGCCAAACTGGAAGAACTAGAGATGTTTTTACAATCAGAAAAAGATATTTTACAGCAGGAAAAAAGAGCAAGCACTATAATGGCATCAGAGAATCAGAAGCTGAGAGAAGAACTAGAAAGGTAGGTACCTGTCTTCTGAAATAGTGGCAGCCCTTTTTCTTAGATGATCCCATATTGCTGCTGGGAACTTATAAGAACCTGTGCAAATAGTTAATCATTCTTTAAAGAGCTGGCTGGATAGCTCAGTGAGTTAGGTACAGTGGTGCCTCGCTTGACGACGTTAATCCATTCCAGCAAAATCATCATCAAGCGAAATAAAAAAGCCCATTGAAATGCATTGAAAACCGTTGAGTGTGTTCCAATGGACAAAATACCTGCTCATCCAGCAAAGATCCTCCATAGGGTGGCCATTTTCTGCCCCCTGTATAGCAAGGAATCCGTTCCTAACACAGCAGGGAGCCCCCCCTGTATAGCGAGGAATCCATTCCTAACACAGCGGGGAGCCATTTTGCACAGCGGGCAGCCATTTTGGAAACCCAATGATCAGCTGTTTTGATCGTCGTTAAGCGAAAAACCGGTTCCCGAATAGGCAACCAGTCATCGTGAAGCGAAATTCCCCCATATAAACATCATTTTGCAATTGCAAAAGCGATCGCAAAAACCTAATCGTTAAGCGATTTCCTCATCTAATGAGGTAATCGTCAAGCAGGGCACCACTGTAAAATCTGGTTGCGGAGCCAGGGGTTGCCTCCTGTGAGTAAACTAAGTCTGTGTGGCCTTGTTGCTGAGCCAGTGGTTGCCTTCTGTGAGTAAACTAAGTCTGTGTGGCCTTGGACAAGATGCACAGTCCCAGGGCACCCCCCACCCCCAGAAGCAGGGAATGATAAACCACTTCTGAGTATTCTGTACCTAGAAAACCCTGAAAAGGGCCAACATAAGTCAGAATTGACTGGATGGCACATGATTGTTCAGTATTCATTCTGTTTTTATTAGCATTCAGAAATGATTATTTGTAAAGTGTTGATCGTGTTTTCACTTTCACTTTTAACTCTTAACAGTGCTGCTTTTGTTTTCACTCTGGGCTTCCCACCCACTCAATCACAAAAAGAAGTTTGAAAGCCTTTTACAAGATATTAAATAGTACCACTCTGAAAAATCACATAGAATGCAGATACTTGCGTTAAATGTACTATTAGTTTCAAAGGACACAAACACCACAATTACAATTTTGACAGAAAAGACATAATTATTGACATATATTCTGCTATATAAAGCAGAATCCTTGCTTTTGAAAACAAACGTTTTAATCACTGAAATTTTAAATATTTTAATATTACATATCTTGCATAAAGTTGTTGTGGTTTTGTTTGTCTGTTACCAGCAAAAGGAACTGCCTCCTTCTTCATTATAGTAACAAAGGCTCAAAAGCTTTCTTTTAGAGTTCAGGGCTTTTTAAAAAATCATTTCCTATTCTATAGTAAGACCAAATAGCTTAAGCTCTTTTGCAGGTTGAAGATTTAAATCCTACAAAGGTTCTATTAACATTGCTATTGGGTATTTGATTGATGAGATATTTAACTTTTCTACTTTCAGGGTGAATTTTTTAAATAGCAAGCTCAAGGCAGAGTATGAAGGGCTTCATATCCACACCAAGGAATTGAAAACCTCCCTGAATAATTCCCAGCTAGAATTGAACCGATGGCAGGCTCGCTATGATGAATTGAAAGAGCAGCATCAGACTATGGACATCTCCTTGACCAAATTGGACAACCACTGTGAGGTGAGATCTATGGACTGTGAAATACAAGTGGTTATTGGAGGCTCAGGAAAGTGTCATTTGTCTATAGGTAGTATTTATAGTTTATTAAAATATACTTGCTGTCAATTGTCAGTTGTTGTTGGACAAGACCCGCCTGTCATGACTGGGTTGTTGCTGAATCAAACGGCCCTTGCTGTAAAGGAAGAAGTTCCACTCTTTCTATGCCTTTTGTGACTTACACGCGTGTATGCACACACATACACACATATGGACCTTCTTATTTTAGCTAAATATCTCAGTTGAGGACTGGGAGAATAACTGTTTCTCTCTAAGGGATACTTCATCCTGTTCTGCAGAACTTCAGCATGGCCGAAGATGGGCCATCTCATGTATACTTTCACTCAGGCAGTCGATTTCAACAGGACACAAGAGTCCCTAAGCATCTGAAGGAGTTGGTGGATGTAGCAAGGATGGGTGGTGTTAGTGGTTTGGACATTCAGTGAACCTTTGGGGCTAGTGTAGTACAGAGCTGGGATTTGTAATAATCAAGGATTCGTGTCTCAGTACCTTCCTGTGGGTATGTCGAGTTGTATTAATGGCCCGTAAGAGAGTTACGGGCAAAGAAAATTCACCTGTGTTGTGTCTGTGGCACAGCTGCTTGCTCGACTGAAAGGGAACTTGGAAGAAGAGAATCACCATCTCTTGAGCCAGATCCAGATGCTGAGCCAGCAGAACCAAATGTTGTTGGAGCAGAACATGGAGAACAAGGAGCAATATCATGAGGAGCAGAAGCAATATATGTAAGAACAGTGTTCTTCTTTGCCTATTTTTTTTGTATGTAGTGAACCTAATGTTGAATTTGGGGGTGAAGAGACATGAAGACTTTCAAGGCAATGTCTGTGTCTCCTGAGACCTTCTAGAGTAGTCGTAGAGCAATTTAAAAAGCTTCAGAGCAACTGTACAATTGCTTTGCAAACTCGAAGGTATTTATTATTTAAAATATTTTTAAACCCCTCCCCCAGACTTTCTCCATAGAAGTACCCAATGTGGCTTACATCATTAAAAGACAATATTTAAACGCTGAAAACAATAAGTATGCAAACACAAAAAAACATCGAACTAATATCACATAAAAAGTGGTAAATAAAATCAAAAATTGATTCAAAGCAACAAGGCACACCACTCCATTTAAAAGCCCTTCCCAGACAGCCAGTCACTTCTTCATCTGCTTGTCCTTGTTAGCCTCTGGTGCAGGAGACCAATTGAAAAATGGGCTGAAATGCTAGTTAGTTTGAATAACTGTAGTGTTAGAAGTAGAACGTATGTAAATGTTTAAATATTATTAGTATACTATAGATAAGAAAATTATTGGAAGTGTAACTGTATTTATAGGTAATTATTACTTTTTTCTTTTTTGTTATGTGACTAGAGGATTGTAACTTATTAACAATACAGTGGTGCGTTGCATTGTGACATTAATTCGTTCCAGCGAAATTGCTGCTAAACGAAAACGTCGCAATGCGAAAATAAAAAGCCCATAGAAACGCATTAAAACACGATTAATGCGTTCCTAGGGGCTTCAAACTCACCGTTCAGCGAAGATCCTCCATAGCACAGCCATTTTCGCTGCCTGTTAAGCGACAAATCCGTCCCAGAAAACAGCCGGTGGGCATTTTGAAACCGCCGATTAGCTGTTAAAAAAGCATTGCTTTGCGATGATCCCGCCGGGCGCCGCAGGCAATGTGCATTTGCCCGGCAGTGGCCCAGACGTGTCCCACCCATCTGCGCCCCGCCAAGGAGGCTGGGCGTCGTCCGGGGCTGGCTGGTGGTGGAATTTTGCTTTGCTATGATCAGTTCCCGATCATAGCAATGCTTTTTTAACAGCTGATTGGCGGTTTCAAAATGGCCACCGGCTGTTTTCTGGGACGTATTCTTCGCTTACTGAGCAGGGAAAATGGCCACACTATGGAGGATCTTCGCTGAACGGTGAGTTTGAAGCCCCTAGGAACGCATTAATCGTGTTTTAATGCGTTTCTATGGGCTTTTT